GGCCTAAGTCCACGAATTTTTGGCCTGGGCCCACGAAGGTCATTAGAGTTTAAATTAATATATGATATAGGGGTTTAGTGTTTCTGCCCTAAGGCTCATGGACCCCCATGGTGAAAGCCCAAACCTTAGCCCCTAGAAAGACCATAACAGCAATAAGAGCCTTAGGGTAGACCCTAAACTCTAAACCCTTAACGACCCTAAAACCTAAAGCCTCTAGTTTAGAGAACTATTCTTAGGGGCATAGAAGGGCTCTAGAGTTGAGAGGCCGATACAGTGTCCTTGGCTTCGAGCGCTCCGGAAGGACTCGGAACTCGAGGAAGACCAAAGCCCTGAACCCGAAATAAGGGTTTAGGGTTTAGTAGGGTTTAGTAGGGTTTAGTAGGGTTTAGGGTTTAGGGTGTAGGGTTTAGGGTGTAGTAGGGTTTAGGATTTAGGGTTTAGGGTTTACCCCCCCAAATCCCACATGGATATTGTTCTCGGCCCTTTTTTTGTCATAAGGGTGCCGTGCCATATTGGGGATGTAAGAAGGGATCATAAGTTAGAGAACTACGAACATGCCAATTGCACAATATACCTCGCCCTAAACGGTTTAGGGTTTAAGGTTTAGGGTTTCGGGTGTAGGGTTTAGGGTCTAGGGTTTAGGGTCTAGGGTTTAGGGTTTAGGGTTTAGTGTTAAACTAGAAGTGACGAAAGGAACAACGGAACAAGAAGAAAGACGAGTCGACAGACCTAACCCTTCCAACAACTTAGAACCACACCCTCCCCCCGGGCCTACGAGCTACCGGAGACGTTTTCCCCACAAAAACCACTCTTGTGCCTTTGATCAGCAGCCGGTGCGACTTTCGCATCCTGGGATTGACACTGGTTCTATTCTCCTGTCTCTTTCAGAGGGAGAAATAGGTTATCATACATCAAGCGCCACCAGTTATCGGCAACCATTGGCTTCGTAAGAATATCGGCCAGCTGGACATGTGTAGGCACCCAATGGAGGAGCTGACGTCCTCCACGTTGTTCTTGGTCCAGCATCTGCCTAATGGCTGCTAAGTCTATGGCCAACCTCTTATCACTCGGAAGTCGAGGGAGACCTTGGCGGTGTACATGATCATACAAGGATCGACAGTCCGAGAAGCAGTGCAGATTGTGACCGTAGAGCTCCTCGATGCGACAAAGTCGGCCTCGTAGGGTGGTCGCGAGAAAAGAACGGACGAACTGTCCGGCTTCTAGTCCCTCGCAGCACGCCATTGTTTCTGCTGCAAAGGTTGAGCGGCAGACCCTCTTTCCTGCGGCCGATCGCCACTCTAAGAGGCTGCCTTGTAGAGGAAGAACATACAAGAGTCCACCGGGGACTGCTTGAATCGGTACCCCTGGCCGTCATGCTGTATCTCTTTCTTCAGCACGGTGTCGCGGAATTCTTGCCACCACTCCCTAGGGGAATCCACCAGGCCAAATATGTTCTTCTCGATCTTCAGCAGGGCTCCGGGCTCCATGTCTGGGAATCCGGTCTTGGGCTGCTTCAGACTGCTTCATGTAGAGCAGTCTCTTGATCGGCTGCCCGTTGAGGAAGGCGGCCGACACATCGCCGGCCGAAGCTGTCCATGGCTTCTCGTCTCGCTGATGAGAAGCCACGATCTGTAGGATCGTGAGCAGACCCAGTCTGCTGATCGTCGGGGCGTCCGTCTTCACTTCTCCTATATCAGGATCGAGATGTCCTCCGACGACGAGTCGAGCCTTCGGGCGCCATTCCACCGAGGCGTCCTGGCGTCTCCGGCTCCAGTTTTTGTCACGATACGCCCAGCGACTGGATAAGATCCGGTCCCGGGGCGTTTCTGCATAGACCTGGTCGCTCTGTTCCTTTGTCAACGGCGTGAAGGCGTTCAGGTCGTAGTGCTCCTGGAGCTGCTTTCGCTCGGCTTGTTTGAAGGCTGCGTGTTGTTCCGGTGGCACCATAGCCCATGGAATTTCTTTCTCGTATTGCTTCTCCCTTGATCGCTCAGTGAGGCACTTCTTGAGGATGTTGACGGAGTGGGGTTGCGGCTTCTTTGTTCTGGCCCGTTGTCGCACTGGTCCGTAGGAAGGCGGGTCCTGAGGTGGAACCGCGCGGTCGTCCTGCTCGGGCTCCTCGGGCTGTAGGTCCATGTCCATGTCCTCGGCGTCCACGTTGATATCCACGTTGTCCCCGCCATCGCCATCCTCTTCGGGATTGTAGTTGTTCGGATCGTCTTGGTCTCCGGCCAACAGCTTCTCCAGGTCTGCGCGGGCAACTCGCGAGTTCATGAGGTCCCCGATCTCTTCGGCCGTCGCGGGTCGCATGTGTTCTTCGGCGGTGAGGTAACACCGCCCGCCGTGGCTGATCCACCAGTTGCCGCTCTCGCTCCCCAGGATAAGTCCTGGGCCCCGCCATTGCCCCCTCTTTGTGGCCACCTTCTCGATGCGAAAGAAACAGACCATCTGTCCGACAGCGTAGGCACCGTGCTTCACCCGGGCACGTTGTAGTAGAGATCGACGGAACTTGTTGTCGACCTGCGTTCTGAAGAATGCCGCCTTGGCTGCATTCCGGATCGCGATCTCCTTCTGCCTCTTCCGGTCCTCGGTCATGAGTTCGAGATATCGTTCTTCATCCCGGCCACTCAGCAGCTCCTCTGGGCAAGCAGGGTCTTTCCCGAAAACGGCTTGGGCCGGCGAGAAGCCATGTTTGCGGCGAAGTTCATTTTTCGCCGCATTGACTGCGGCCACGGCGAGGTGAATGTCCTCCCCGTAGACGGTGTGCTCGTCGATCACCCGGTTGAGGATCTCCTTGTACCACCCACCATGCCGTTCTATCACGCCTTGCTGCCAATGGGCCTGGCCGGCTTTGCTGCGTAGCTTGGTCCCGGTGAAATCTGTGTATCTACCGAGACCTTTCTGGAGCCCAGACTCCAAGTCAGCAGCAATGACTCTTGGAGCCCCAAAAGTTCTTCCCCATAGCTCGACGAACCCCTTCTCAAAGGCCTCGTTGGAGTGCCCGGGTAGAACGGCCACAAGGTGGTACGTCGTAGCATGGTCAATGATCGACAAGAGCTCGTGGCGTTTTCGGTGAGCATCGAAAACGTGGAAAACATCCACACTGACCAGCGCATTGAAATCCAGGAAGGATGGGAGGCTTGCCGGCCTCGGTGCTGCAACCTTTTTGGTCCGGTCGCAAGTTTGGCATCTCATCCCTTTGCAAGCGGCTATCACCTTGTCGTCGGCTCCCGCAAAGCGTAGGTGTCGCGTCAGGTCGGAGACTGAAGGGTGCCCCAAATTCTGATGCAGTCGGGTAAGGGCTCCGCGAATCGGGGCCGAGACCGAACCTGTGAAGGTGATAGCTGATGCTCCGGATGGTTCATCTGTCGGTAGCTGCTGGGGGCCGCCATCAACGGCCCACGCTTCGTGGGCATCCGGGGCGTTGACGAAGTTGGTCACGTGTACCTCGTACTTGTATCCACTGGGGATGGCCTTGACAAAGAACTTCTGGAAGAGGTTTGTGATGTGGTCGTAGCCAGCCGTTCCGGGAGACAAATTCGTTTCGATAACAAGCTTTCTCCCCTCTCGTAGCTGCACCTCTCCGATCTTCTCCAGGTAGTCTAGGTCCTTTTGGTTGCGATCGAAGTGGTACCACACGACCCTTGGAGAGCAGTTCTCGACGTGTTCGAGGGCGCGCTCCAGTCCTCCTTTTGCAAAGAGGAAACCAGGGTCGATCGGCTCGGCGATGTTGACGTCGAGCTCCGCGGCATAGATGGACTTCACATAGGCCGACCTCGAGCAAAGCGATGTGCTCATTGCTAAGCTCCGGAGCCACCTCGGCGCCGTAGCTGGAACTCGCCGCGATGGTCGTGGCCAGTAGCGCACTTGCCTGGGCTGCACATTTCCAGATCTGCTTCCGGACGCTCTTCTTGGGCCTGTTCCGGTCCTCGGGACCGGGGGTTGCGCGGGCCAGGACTCGTAGTGGATCTCCGTGTCGAGGGAAACCAAGGCTTCGCAAGAAATCCTCCTCGTGTCCATTGAGTTGGTCCACTCCCCTGATCGTGTAGGTGGACAGACTGATCCTTTCTCCACGCCAGTCTTCAACGAAGTGTCGCCGCTTCGGATTGAAGGCACGAACGTGCCCCTTCGTCGAAACGTAGGCACCGTCCATCTTCTTGCCCTCCTTGGTGAAGATCTCGTGGTCCTCGCCGTCGTGGTCCTCGTAGTGGTCCGCGGCCCAATCCTCATTGCTCTTTTCCAACCACAGCCGGCCTCCGCTGAAGTTGCCGACGGCAATGGTCTGGTTGGCACTGCCGGGAAGATTGTTAGGGTCACGATGAAGAAGGTGACCAACATTGACCGCGACCGAGATGGATGTCCACGGTCCCCGAAATCCCTTGGCCTTTGCCCAAGCGTTGAGGTAGAGGGCACACTGAGGAAACTTCATTGTCCTCTGGTTGACACCGTGGAAAGCACCATACGAGTATGCCCCGAGCACCACGATGTGTCCACCTGTAGGGACAGCCTGTCGATGGCGGTCTCCTTCTCCAAAGCGCGCCAGCCCCTTGATCACCTTGACAATGGTCTCCTCGTGGTAGTCCTTGTTCTTCCGGGCTTCCTTTGCTAGCCCTTCGAGAACTTGAGCCTCTGGCCAAGGGTCGTTCTCGCAGCTCTCCTCGAAGCAGTCGTAGAAGGCTTCCTTGTCGTCGGGGGCCTCGTTCGCGTAGGTGATCGCGCCAGGGTCGCTCAGTTGTTGCCCTCCCTGATGTTGTACTGGTCCTTGAGCACCGCGAGCCGAGTCATCAGCTGGTTGATCTTTTGCAGGGCCTGCCGGGGCACCTCCGCTTCCATGGGTCTCGGCTCTCCTCCTCGGGAATCTTCCGCACCAGGTTCTTGGGTGCGATCTTCGCCTTGGCTTTCGCCGCCGGTGGAGTCACCGGTGTCTGACTGGAGTAGCCCCTCGCACTCTCCTTCACCATCGACCAGGTGGTTCTGGATGACGTTGAGCTCCTCTCCTCGTCCTCGTAGTACGGAATCGTGGCATTCACCTCGGGGTCTGGAGCTTCCTGTTCCTCCTCCGGGAAGAGCTTGTTCTTGGCGAAGTTCGCGAGGTGTCGCAGGTCCTCGGAGGCATTCTCGTTGTTCTTGGTCTCGCGAATACTCCACTCCAGATATCCCCGAGGCACTTCGTCGAAGAGGTAGTTCTTGTAGCGGCCGAAGGACACGACCTGCTTCCCGGGTGGGTTCTGCTGGTCGCGGATCATTCGGAGGATCATTCCCTTGGTCGCTCTCGGTGGCAAGATGATGCCCAAGTTCCCGGCTTTCTCGCGAAGTGCCACCACATTGAGCGACGATAGCCCCTTCACTGGATTCTCCTCCTTGTGAGCCTGCCGATGCTCCTGTAGTAGAGACCGAAGCTCCCCCGTGGTCCAAGACGAGTGGTACACCAGCCCCACTTCGGAGGCTGCCGCGATCAACTCGGCCTTGTTCATGTCCCATATGCTCTTGGAGGCGGATGCCATCAAGCGAACGAGGCAGGTGGGAAGGTCGTCGGGCAAACACACTTCTTCCGATCCAAAGAACATCGTGAGAAAGAGGTGCTCCGTGTTGCCACATGTCATGAGCAGGCTCAAGACCGCGATAGTTCATGCATGCCACTGCCCACGTGCTCCTAACACTCCCAAGTTCAGCAAGCAGACAATCTCTCTGAGCAACGTAGGGGGTCCTCCACTTATCGGGATAGAAGAACGCTCTTCTTGGGACGATATGTATCCGGTAGAAGGCCTTGGGGGTTTCGATCCAGAAGTCGTTACTTTGACGAGTTTGTTTCCACCAGGTACAAAACGATGAAACACTCAGCACATCTGCAGTGAGGATGTTGTGAATTACGTCGTTAATCTTCTTTGGGAAGAGAACTGGTAGATTGGAGGCTTGCTGACGACCATGATCGTGACCTAGAGGGGCATCCTGACAAGAATCACTCGCGCACGCCATGAACACCGTGTATTGCTGCCTGGTCGGCTCAATCATGATCACCTCCTGGGATCCCCACTGTTGGGGGGTCGGACACGACAAATTAGCGGCGCCTTTGGGATTCACTGCTACAGCCGGGTGTCCAGTGACCGTGCAGTGGAGTTTGATGTCGTCAACCCCGAGGTTCTTGAAGCTTGCTCGGTGCCTCTCGAGGTCAAACACCATTCCCAGGGTAGCAAGCAGAGATCGGCTGAGTAGGAGGGGAACATCTCCCGCCACGATAGCCGCACGAACCCAAAAACCCTTGCCGTTGATCTCGACGTAGATGGTGGCCGTGTAGTTGGCGTGGAACAACTTACTAGCCCCGAACCTGAAGTCCTCAGAACAAGGAAGAAGCTGTTCACGGGTCCCATACTTCCGGGTGGCCTCGAGGTACTGCTGGAGCCACCCTTCGCCGGCGACAGTGCGGCTGCAGGCCGAGTCCGTGATAGCATACAGCCCCTCGCCCCAGTCACCGACCTCGTAGGCAACGTGGACCACATAGGCATCCTTGGTAGTATCCGCTTTCTTGCCAGCTCCCGCATCTCCTGAAGGTGGGGCCTTGCCTCCATTCAATGGACATTCTGGGTCTCGATGCCAATGGCCACGCCTTTTGCACCCCGCGCAGTAGCTCCTCGCCTTGGCGAGTTGCAGGCGCTCGGAAGCGCTCTTGCCGTCCTCGCGTCCATCACCGCCTTGTCCGAATCCTCGCGCACGGGAGATCTCCCTGTAACGGCTCTTAGCCGCCTCCTGTGCCATGAAGGCTTCGTGAAGTTCTGCTGCCTCCTCTTCGGGGATCGCGGAGTCGCCGTCGGGGTAGTCCTCGTCTCCAGCCTCGGGCACTTCCGTCAGGTAGGCTCCTCGCGTAGGACGACCACGATCTCCTCCACCTTGGGGTGGGCCATTCGGGTTCCACCGTCGCCATGGTACCTGTAGGCTCTTCTCGTGGAGGGTGGCCGCCTTCTGTAGCTTGGAAGTCACATACTCGTTGTTGACGGATGCTAGGAGGGAGAGTTCCTCGGAGTTAGACAGGTTAAGGGCACTCAGGTACACCCAAGCCTTGGCCACCTCCGGCAACTTGCAATCGATCTCGAGGAGTCGGGCATATGCCCGGTCAAAGGCAGAGTTGAACTCCCTCACCGTCTGATTCGACTGGCGTCGTAGCTTCCTGAAGAACTGGGTGAGGGCCTCAGCTATCTTAGAGACTTCAACCTCCTGATAGCGCTCCTGGATCCAGGCTTTGAGGATGGAAACCCCTGCATCTGTTCAGAGGTCCTCGACGGAGAGTTCTTCGGCCTCCACCCAGGCTCGTCCACCTAGCGACTGGTAGAGGAGGAGAGCTCTCTGGTTGGCCGGGGCCCTAGTAATCTTGCACCAAGCATCCAGTTGCCTCAGGTAGCTTCGAGCGCTCAAACCGAGAGCATCTCCGCTGCCCTCAGCATTGAAGGTAGGGACCGCCATGCGCTCACTGAGGCCGCCCTTGCTCTGAGAAGGCGGAGTCTCACCAGTGTACCAGGCAGTCAAACATGGGCCTCCGCTCTCATCGCCGCGGGCGGTGCTCGTACCGGTAGCACTCGGTCGGGTAGTAGGCGCCGCGGGAGGTCCTTCTGCACCGCCTGGTCCTGTGCTGGTACCCGACCTAGTCGAAGAGAGGGGAGGTTCGTCTGTACCTCCACTCCCGCCATCGTTGGAGCCGTGATCCCCATCTCGGCTTCCTTGAGAACCGGCGTCGGGCTGAGGGGCGCGATCGCCCCAAATCGTACCGGAAGTCCTCTGATCTCTGGCGGCACTCCATGGATCAGCACAGTGGGACCAATCCTGATTTCCCCACCAGGTTCCCCACTGCCAGGACGAGTCACTCCAGCTGTCCCAATTCCAGCTACGAGTGCCCCGGCCAGTCGGTGTCCACTGGCTGTCGTTCCATGTGGTGGTCTCTGCGGTCGAAGGCACGGGGTCGTTCATAGGATCTTGCAAACCATCAGTCTGCGGTGGATCTCGTTGGGCAGCCGTCTCCTGCTCATTGTTCTCTGCAGCACCCGCTTGCTGAGCGTGCCCAACACCCTGCCACTGAGCCCAAGGGTCAGCAGCTGTGCCAACATCGTTTCCTTCGGTGGCCATCGCGGCCGAGGGACAAAACTAGAAACCTAAGCCTTAAGACACAAAAGAAGACACACAACGCTACGAGCCCCGGACTACGACCGAGGCTCCGCTACCAATGTTAAACTAGAAGTGACGAAAGGAACAACGGAACAAGAAGAAAGACGAGTCGACAGACCTAACCCTTCCAACAACTTAGAACCACACCCTCCCCCCGGGCCTACGAGCTACCGGAGACGTTTTCCCCACAAAAACCACTCTTGTGCCTTTGATCAGCAGCCGGTGCGACTTTCGCATCCTGGGATTGACATTTAGGGCAACAAAATCAGTTGCCTTTTTGGTTCAAGGTCTCCTGACAGGAAGAATTTTTTTCAATGGCCCACCTAAACCCTCATATCCCTACCCAGGCCCGATGAAGCCTTCACAAATCTCGGAAATAGCGCCGAACCCCAAAGACCATAGAACTTAGGAGCCCCCTAGACCCCAATCCCAGGAACCCCAAAAACCCTAGTACCCTAAACCCTTCAACCCCCAAACCCTAGACCCCTAAACCCCCCAAACCCGAAACCCCTAAACCCTAGGACCCCTAAACCGCTAGACCCCTAAACTTGAAACCTACAGTACCCCTTATACCCCCTGATAGGACCCCTTATAGAGCCCTTAAAGGAGCCCTTCTAGATCCCTTAAAGGAACCGTACTGATAACTACCCATTGGAACCTCCAAGTATGCCTCGAAAAGTCTTGAACCCAACCCTAAACCCTAAACCTGCAACCCTGAACCCTAAACCCTAAACCCCAAACCTGCAACCCTGAGCCCTAAACCCTAAACCCCAAACTCTAAACCCCAAACCCTAAACCCTAAACCCCAAACCCTAAACCCTAAACCCTAAACCCTAAACCCCAAACGGTTTAAGCCTCTACAAGCCCTAAGGGTCCATGTGCCCAAATAGTATATATATATACACTTTCGCCTTAAAGTAGTCCCTATATGGGCACTTTGCGGCCAACGTATATACTATTTGGGTACATGGGCCCTTAGGGGAAGTCTCCCACGTCTCCGAAGATCCGAGGTCTCCTGAACCTCTACGTGGTGGTTACCTACGCCAGCAAGTATGTGTCGGGTCCCTGCAGTAGAAGCCCAAAAGTTGGAAACCCAATAGCCCCAATCCTTAACAGTAATGTACAGGGTATCCCAGGACTATTTGTCCTTAATCCAGTTTCCAACTTTTTGGGGTTTACTATAAGGGTTCAGGGCTTTGAGGGCTCTTGGGGCTTTTAGGGCCCTCAGGGATTTTAGGGTTTTGAGGGCACGCTTTCGGGTTGAATGCTTCGGGGTTTAGGGCTCTGGGTTTAGAGCTTCTTCGGGTTTAGGGTTTAAGGTTCAGGGGTTTGTTTTTAGGGTTCTGGGTTTGGAATTTCCGGGTTTAGGGAGTTTAAACCCTCAACCTCGGTTCTGCTTACCCATAGGCCCCTAAGTAGTTCCTTTTTGGGATTGCCTTGTAGGATTCTACATATAAACCACTAAACGGAACTACTGAGGGGCCTATGGGTAAAGGAAAGGATTAGGGGACTTTGTGAGTAGGGTAGTACGCACGAGAACTATTTTACAAGTACTTACAACCCCGAATGGTGTACTCATAGCCTTACTTGCGAAGTCCCACGATCCTTTAAGTAAACAGTAGGGTTTACAAGCCCCCTCATAAAACCTACAACAAGAGTTATCCTACTTGTAAACCCTACTTATAACTACCCATGAACCTCCAAGTAGTACCCCTTATACCCCCTTATAGGACCCGTTCTAGAGCCCTTGTAGATTCCTTAAAGGAACCCTTAAAGGAGCCCTACTTATAACTACCCATGAACCCTAAACCCCTAAACCCTAAACCCTAAACCCTAAACCCTCAACCCCTAAACCCCTAACCCCTAAACCCTAAACCCTAAACCCTCCAAGTAGCACTCCCGACATCCTGTGCCTTGCCAGGACGCATCGGGAAGAGGCCTGGCATCAGCCGTCATAAGGGGCCTTAGGGCCTTAGAGTAGGGATCCTTCAGTTCCTTTGGGCTTAGGGTTTAGGGGTTAGGGCTTAGGGTTTAGGGTTTGTGGTTTAAGGTTTAGGGTTTAGGGTTTAGGGTTTAGGATAGCGATGTTCCAACTGTCTGGTTTTTGCTGTAAGTTTTCTTTTAGCAGGGTCGATGATGGCTACTATGTAAGGGTTGTTATATAGCGGCCTTGATAGACCAGGGTTTTTGGTAGATCTTCGTATCAATACAACAAGGAACCCGAAGGACGAATTCGGTAGATATTCAGGCTTCTGTATTGGGAGAGGTTTCAAGGTTCAATGTAGACCTCTGATTGTTAAGCCCCTCTTCAGGGTCTTCTGTGGATTTGTAATTTCCAGTTTCAGCCTTTATCCATGGAGAGGTGCGTATTGATCAGGGGTGGAAGGTTTAACCTCTGGATGCATCGAGGGTTCATGTCGTGAGCTAACCCTTAAAGGATCCCAAGATGGACCCTAAACCCTAAACCCCAGAACCCTAAACCCTAAACCCTACAGCAGCATGCTTTTTCGAAAATCTCTTCAACCCAACCCCTAACCGCCAAACCCAAGCCCCCTGGCTCCCTCAACCCTGCAAGCGTTGGAACCCGAGCCCTTTGCCCAGACCCCCGGGAGGATCCAAAAGTAGAACCCCTTAATACCCTTTTGCAGTTAGGGCCCCAAATATTCGGGGATCTATTTTTTGGATCCTCCCTTAAGGGGTCTGGGTAACTGTGGATGTCACCGTGGTGCTGCAACGTCTCCACGCGGTCCAAGCGACTTCCGATAGCGGGGGGCGGGGGTGGAAGCCTTAGAAAGCCGCATCCCTTCTTTGCAAGCCCAGAATTCCGGGAGGATCTCAAAAGTGGATCCCCTAATTTGGGACCCTAAACCCTAAGCCCTAAACCCTACCTATTAAAGGTACTGTATAGGAACCCCCTTAAGGGGTCCCCGGGGGTCTGGGAGGGCGGCTGTCGGATCTTCTCCACCAATCTGCCACTTCGGACAAGGTAATGGGTTTAGGGTTTAGGGTTTAGGGCTTAGGTTACCCACCACGGTTCAACTTACTCGTCTGCTCCTGCTCACAAAGCGGACGATGCTGTAGCCATCAGAAAAAGTCAGAGTCCAAAGCCAAGCGGCACTTGCTTGCTCTGTACTTTTTCGGCATTTGATTGCTGTGCCGTGGATGTGTAAGACTTGTGGAGTTTTAGGGTTTACGGTTTAGGGTTTAGGATAAAGGGGTAGTTAGAAGTAGGGTTATAAGTAGATAGTTATAGTTGTAAACTGTATTAGGGGACTTAAAACTCCACTTACAACTAGCCATGAACCTCCAAGTACAGCAACTCCTGAAGCACGACACGAATGCGTAAAAAAACTCCTTCACTGTAAACCCTACACTGCTCTAGTGCTCTAGACAAAGTCCATCACTTCCCTGGTTCTTAGAAGGGAATGGGGAATGGATCCCTCTGATAGCCCCTTAAGGTCCCCTAGAGTAGTCACCAAAAACCCTTTCCTCCATTCCCTACTGAGATGCCCTAAACCCTCAGTCCCCATTCCCTACTAAGAACCAGTCCGTCATGCAAGGGCCTGGATATTTGGTACCCAGAGACTCCAATATCCCTTAATTAAGGAATATACCTTAGATCATAGTAGGGATCCCGAATATGATTTAAGGTATATTCCTTAATTAAGGGATATTGGCCTCTCTGGGTACTTGAGTTCCTTGAGGTTCCCCCTAAGGCTGAGGATCTATTATCTAAATCCTGCATTACCCATAGTAAGGAATATACCATAATTCGCATAGTTTCGGGTCCCTATGGTACTGCATAATATGGAATACATACCATAATTCATATAGTTTGGGGTCCTTAGCATAATGCAGGGCAGGATTTATACCATCAACGGTAGTAACCCTATAGCAAGAGCCAAAGCAGCCCTAAATTTGAAGGGTTTATTTAGGGTTTAGGGTTTAGGGCGAGCCAAGAAATCCTAAACCCTAAGGCTGGAGATCCCTGAACCCGAGAGGCTTTGTCTTGGATTGAGCGCCAGACGGAACTAAATTGGCGGTTCAAGCACATCTACAACCTCGCCGCT